TGTACTGCGTTGTGCTGCGTTGTGCTGCATTGTGCCACGTTGTGCTGCGTTGTGCTGCGTTGTGTGTCTGGGTCTGCATGCTCCTGTCCGAAATGTCCCTCCGGTCTGTACACCAATGTATGTGCCCACATCTCACCCGTCCCTGACCACCACCCACCATTATCTACCATCCACCTCCACCAACCACTACCACCCATCGTCCATCACAGGCCCTGCGCCTTGCTGATCTGCTGCATCCGCAACTGGAGCGGCTGCTTGCTGTTGTCGACCGCCTCCACGCGCCGATGCTCGTCCTTGACGCCCCGCCATTCGGGTCTCTCCCCGCCTTCATGCGCAACCAGAAGCGCCCGCTGCCCTTCAAGAAACTTCTTCGCTTCTGCTGGCAGACGGCCTCAGCGCTCAGCTTCCTCGCATCCCGCAGGTGATGGTGGTGACGATAGCGGTGGTGATGGTGGTGGCGGTGGTAGAGATGGGGCTGGTGGGGATGGATGATAGTGGCTGTGGCGGTGGTCGTCGTGCACGTGCATGTGTGCTTCGCTCATTACATCCCTCACTCATACCCTTCATCTTCCCTTGTTCGCTTTCTTTGCGCGCAACAGCTACGTGCACTGTGACATTCGCGCGAAGAACGTCTCCGTCTACCGCCCGGACACCGTCAAGCTCTCGTCCTTTGGGTCTGTTCATGCACACATGCTGGCGTGTACATGCCTGCGCGCGCGCGTGTGTATGTATGTGTGTGCATGTTCATGTATATGTATGTGTATGTGTATGTGCAAGTGCATGTGCATGTGTATGTGCAGTTGCTTGTCGCGTCAGTGTTGACGCTACCCGCTCATCCCCTCCCCGTTTTATCTTGCCCACCATCAGGTCTGCACGCTGCATCGATCAAGTGATGATTGTCAATCGCGATGACATCTGCCTCGATCGCGCCCCGCCAGAGACTGTCAACTTCCTGTACGTGCACACACGCATGCACACATGCACACGCGCACACGCGCATGCACTGGTGCTCTTACTTCTTCGTGCCACATCGTCATTGTGTGTTGTAGCGTTCAAGACAACGCATTTGTGTTTCCTGGCCTAACGCCAGCCACCACCAACCATCACCACCACCATTATGATGATCACCATCAATAGGGTGTACAGTTTCAAGAGCGACGTGTATATGTTCGGGCTGTGCGCGTGGGAGATTCTCAACCGCTGTCGTCAGCTCCCAAACTTCGACGCGACACACAAAGACGGCGTCCAACTCCCCACTCCAGCCGGTGAGAACATGTGTGCGTGTGTGTCTGTGTGCGTGTGTGTGCGCGCGCGTGTGTGTGCGTGTGTGTCTGTGTGCATTGTGTGCAGCATAATTTTCTTCCTCTCGCATATGTAACCTCGTTCACTCTCCATCCCCCCTCCACCCGTCAACGCACGTGCAGAGTGCACGGATGACCACATGCTGCTGCTGCGCGCGTGCTGGGCGCCGGACAGCGAACAGCGGCCCGACGCTGCCGACGTGTGCCGCTCCTTCCACGACCTCCACCTCGGCCGCTCAATCGCACACGTGCACGCGCAGCCATCCACAGGTGCTTTGTTTGTTTGTTTGTTTGTTTGTTTGTTTGTTTGTTTGTTTGTTTGTTTGTTTGTTTGTTTGTTTGTTTGTTTGTTTGTTTGTTTGTTTGTTTGTTTGTTGAAGTGTGTGTGTGTATGTGTGTGTGTGATTTTCTTCTGTGTTTGCTCGGTGCATGTGTACGTTTGTGTTGCTTCGTTGCTCCCATGCCCCGAAACAATTTGTAGGCTGATGGCGTTTGCTGTCATGCGCATCTCGTGTTCACAAACAGGGTCGTCTCCAAAGAGCGCAGCCAAAGACAATGAGGTGCGGTCTACTTGCCTTTCTCATCTCCACCATCCACACCCTGGCTGCCATGTTGATTCAACCTGCCCACCCACACCTCATTCCCACCCCACCATTCCCTGAACCATCCCCCTCTCACACACACAAATACTACCGCCCCTCTCCATCTACCGCTTCTATCATTATATCACTTCTACCCTATCCCCTCATTCAAACCCAGCAGTTTGTTCGCAGTGCGTCTGAGCCATTATTTGACTCCCGCCAACACAAGACCGCAGACACAACAGACACGATAGCCGCAGCCGAAACAGCCACCACAACAGCCACGACAACCCAGCGGTCCAGCGACCATCTGTTTGCGTTTGGTGGTGATGATGACTTTGCGCCCCGTGCCCAGACGACGACACCGAGCACAGCAGCAGCGCCGTGGCTGGAGGCCGTTGACCCCTGGGGTGATGCTGCTGCTGCTGTCACAACACCCGAGCAACACAAAGACGATGTGCCAAAGGCACCACACCACGACACCGACGACGACAACGGAGGTGGTGGAGATGTTAGCGATGGTGGTAGCGATGTGCATAAGGAGCCAGTTGCTGCAGAGCACCACGGCAACGATGACCACGACGCCGTTTACGATGGTGGCGATGGTGGTGATGGTGGTGATTGTGGTCGCGCCACTGCGCGTGCGAGTGTGTTTGACATGGCGCACTCGCACGCTGACGTGGTGCAGTCCCTGTCGCACAACGCGTCCATGGATGGCGATGGAGAGGAGGCCGGTGCAGCCGTCGGCGACGATGCTGAGGCGCGGTTCCTGTGGCAGGGCCTGAGCGAACTCTTGACGCAGATGCAGCGCAGCACGCTGGGCGATGAGGAGGGCGGTGATGGCCTCATGGCGGGCATGCATGGTGATGATGATGAGGATGATGATGAGGATGAGGAGGAGACATCCGGTGCGTCTGCAGATGAAGAAGACGAAGTGGATGGAGATTCTGTGGATGACGAATACGTGAGCGTCGAAGAAGAAGAGGAAGAAGAAGAGGAAGAAGAGGGGGAGGAAGAGATGGCTGGGGAAGCCGGTGGTGGTGACGTTGAGGAGGAGGAGGAGGAGGAGGAGGAGGAAGAGGGGGAGGACATGCATGGCGAGGATGAAGATGAAGACGAGGATGTGAGTGGAAGCGGTGCTGATACAACAGATGACGAGGAGGAAGGCGCCTTGTTGGATCTGCATGACGATCAACAGACACCAGACGCACCAACAGCACCAGCACCCACAACTGCAGCGCCAGCCGCAGCCGCAGCAGAGGACCAAGAGCGGGCGTCACGCCTGGAGCACCATCGTCAGCGCCGCCGCCACCGCCACCGCCGCCGGCAATCCCGCCGCCGTAGTCACCTCGCGGACATCACAGAACACGACGAAGATGAGGAAGAAGAGGAGGAGGAGGAGGAGGAGGAGGAAGGGCGTGGGCAGGAAGAGGAGGAGCATGAGGCAGGGGCACGTGGGGATGACGACGATGGCGCTGTTGGTGGTGTTGGTGGTGGTGGGGATGGGGATGACGAGTTTGTTAGCGGCGATGAGAGCGATGAGGTCAGTGATTACGACACGACCGACGCGGAGGAGGAGGACGAGGAGGAGGAGGTTGCTGGAGAAAAGGTGGCGGACGAGCGTGTTGAAGTGGCGGTGGAAGAAGGGCAGGAAGGACAAGAAGCAGAGGACGCTGAAGAGAAAGGACACAGCGTTGACGCGGAAGAGGAGGAAGAGGAAGAGGAGGAGGGAGTCAGTAAGAGGCAAGACCTTTCTCAAGATGCGTCACGTGCTATTGAAGAGCAGCAGCGTATGGATGGTGACGCTGATGTCACACCATCAGCAGCTGCCGTGGCTGTCGACACCGCGCCACCACTGAACGCTGGCGAAGAAGAGGAAGAGGAGGAGGAGGAAGAAGAGGAAGAGAACGCACTCAGCGCAGACGGCGGCACTGGAGATGTGGTGCAGTCGGTGGAAGCCGTCACAGCTGCTGGAACTGCTGTGGAGGAGCACGTGTCAACTCGCACTGATGATGGCGATGGTGATGGTGATGGCGATGGTGATGATCACGCCCACGCCTATGCCCACGATGCCGACACAGCAGCAACCGGCCAGCAGGGTGATGGTGTGGCGGCGGCTGAGGAAGGCAGTGCAGAGATCGCCCGCGAACAGCACCAAGAAGAGAGCATGAAGGAAGAAGAGGCAGATGTGACAGCTCCTTCGCCATCAGATGAGACCACTGCTGCCACCGTTAATGCTGCTGGTGAGAAGGAAGACGAGCAGCCAGCAGCAGAAGAACAAGTAGAACAAGAAGAGAGGGATGGCGATGTGGGGGACAACAAGCAAGAGCAGGTTGAAGAATTCAGCGAAGAGGATGAGGACGAAGACGAAACAGAGAAGGAAGATGAAGTCACCAATGAACAGCAGCAGCAGCAGCAGCAGCAGGTGGTGGTTGATGTTGTGGTTGATCGAAGCAGTGGCGATGATGCAGGTGAGAAGGCCGAGGGCACTGCAGCTGCTGTGGCTGCGGAACAAGAACAGCAGCAGCGAGAACAGGAGGAAGAACAAGCGGAAGAGAAGATGGCTGTGCGTGAGATTGTGAGCGAACTGGATGATGAAGAAGAGGAGGAGGAAGACCAAGAAGCAAAGGAGGCGGTGGAATATGGGCAACAACACAATGGTGATGACGATGTTCTCATGCTGGATGCCATCAAGCGCGATGGGGACCGGTCACGGCTGACGGTGCCAACGCCACAGCGCAGCCCGCGCCTCCGATCGGAGACGGATGACGGGTACATACCGTCGGGGGAACCAAGCGAGCGCGGCAGCACCGCACGCAACTCCCCCGAGGTCATGATGACATCTGTTGGGACCGGTGGTGTTGGTGGTGTTGGCGAGGGGAGCAGGACAAGTGGTGAGGGCGAGAAGAAGACAAAGGCCAAGACGAAGACGAAGAAGAAGGTGAAGACCAAGACAAGGACAAAGTCAAAGTCAAAGACAGTGACGAAGAAGAAAGAAGACAGCACCAAGTCCACCCGAACCAGCAAAGCAGACGCTGCCAAGAGGAGCAGCAGCAGCATGGGTGGGGCTGTTGGGGGGAGACGGGGTGCCAAGTTGTCATCGTCATCAGCAGCGTCACCCTCATCAACCAGCCGGCAGCCGTCCAGGAAGGAGCGAACAGCAAAGAAGACGTCGGCGTCCTCTGTCTCCAGTGGTCCGCAACGATCAACACAATCCTCCGTTCGTGCGCGTGCAAGCACCAGCAGCACGCGCTCCAGCAAACGCCATTCCCCATCGACTACGACAACAAGAGCAACGGAAGCGGAGGCTGCCGAGCATGCGCGGTTGAACCGTGAGCGCGTGCGTCGAGTGCATCAGGGCGCACGCAAGGCGTCGTCGCGCGCGTTTGCAGCGCTTTCGTCAGAGACGACGACGTTGCAGTCTGGCGGGCTCGAGAACAGCGCGTTTCTTCGGCGGAAGCAGTATGCAATGCAGCTGGGCCAGCAGCAGCATCAGCAGCAGCAGCATCAGCAGCAGCAGCCATCGTTGTCGTCACCATCATCATCACAGCACCGTCGATCACGGCGACGCAGGCAGCGCGCTGGTGGTGATGACATTGCATCGGGGGACAGCAGCAACGCGAGCGCACGCAACAGCGACGCGGGTGCACATGGTGGTGAGCACGCTGACATGACGCCAGGCACACCGTCAACCGCGTCAACGACAGTCGCGTCAACGTCGTCATCGTTCAAGCGCAAGAGCAGTCGCCGCCATCGCCATCGTCGCGCGGGCAGCAGCAAGCGCGCAAGCACGGATGGGCTGCAAGGCGTGCCAGACACGTTTAGGGAGACGCTGTATGTGTTTATGAAGAGCATCATTGCGCTGAGCCACGAGTCGAGGGAGCAATCGCGTATTGGCTGTCTGCCGCTGCTGAAACGCGTCACCACCGTACGTTGCAACGAGAAGAACTAGGGAGGAGGAGAGATAGACTTGCTGCATTTTGTAGAGCCTTGTTGCGATGAAGGGTTGTTGAGGCTACTGTGGCAGTCTTGGCTTTGTGTGTGTGTGTGTGAGGGGGGGGGGTGAAGTGGGGTGGTTGTTCCTGAGTATCATTTGTGGTGTGGTGTGTTGTAAGGCGTTCCTCACCTCTTCTACTGCCGTGTGTCTGTATATCGTGTTCATCATCAGGATTACGCACGGTTGAAGGCCCGCACGAAGCGCGACATTCACCCACCACACGTCTCTGCGCTCAAGACGTCCGAGACAAACGCTCGCGTGCGCGCACTCGCAGACACATTCAACGCCCTCTTGCGGGTACGTTTGTTTGTTTGCTTGTGTGTGTGTGTGTGTGTGTGTGTGTGTGTTTGTTTGCTTGTTTGCTTGTTTGCTTGTTTGTGTGTGTGTGTGTGTGTGTGTGTGTGTGTGTGTGTGGCGCATACCATTCACATCTCACGTGTACATGCACGTGTTGCTCGTGCTTGCTTTATGTACATCGCAGAATCTTCGCCCGAGTGTGAGCGATGACGAGGTGGCAAACAGCAACTGGCGCAGGGTGAGTTGATGGGGGTACAGATTTGCTTGCTTGTGCAACAGCTTGTTTGTGCAACAATTTTCATTTTGTTTCTGCGAATACTCACCCCCACACACATACATACACACACATACACACACTGCTGCCCATCCCCTCCCCCCCCCCTCCTCTCTCTCTCTCTTCTCTTCGTCAGGATGTGGCTGAGGCGTGTGATTTGATTGAAACGCAGTGTGTCCAGATCAAAACGCTCCTATCATGATCATCAAAGTCTGGGTTTGAGTGTCGATTTGGTTGCTTTTCATCGACTTTGTTGTTTCCGTTGTTGTCGTCACTGCAAGACACATCCACGCATACTTTGCTTTCTCGCACTTTGCTTCATAGTAGACACTTTGCTTATTGGTTGTTGTTTTCGTCGTAGCGCTTGCGTTGTTCACTGTACACATCCATTTGAAAATGAACATGAAGACGTGGCAGTGATGGAATGGACGATGATGACTTGTAACCGCACCTCCTCCATCCACGCGCTGATGTGACACAACCAACCAAACACACGAGGGGCAGAGATATGTACACACAAAAGTAACCTGATCTACTCGCACACACATGCACATGCACACGTGTGCATATGTCTTTTCGCACAGCTTTGCAGCTTTGTAGTTTGCACTGCTACCACAGCCACGACGACTGCTGTGTTGAACTGCACGCGGCCATCACCCGTCTCTCCTCCTCTGGACTGAACTGCAACACAGCAGCAATCGCTTTGGCCATCCTGTTGCGTGCGTGCGTGCGTGTGTGTGTGTGTGTGTGTGTGAATGGAAGCACAAAGGAAGAGGCAACAAGCGAGTTGAGTACACGCAAGCCAACGTATGCCCAAGGCATTCAACGAAGAGCACACACGTGTGTGTGTGTGTGTGTATGCCCTCACCTGTCACGACCCATGTCTGTGATCATGTACTTGTAGACGATGTTCTTGAGGTATTCCAAATTCGCGCCCTCCCGTCTTGAATTCCGCTCGAAGCGACGCACCTCCTCCTGTGCATGGTGTGTGTGTGTGTGTGTGTGTGTGTGTGTGTGTGTGTGTGTGTGTGTGTGTGTGTGTGTGTGTGT